AAGGTATAAGTGGAAACAAAGTCTGTGTTCATGGATTAGAAGACTTAATATACTTAAGATGACAACACCACAAAGCAATGTACAGATTTGATACAACATCTGTTAACATCCCAACTATATTTTTTTTTGCAGAAATAGAAAAGCCCATCCTAAAAATCACATGAAATCTCAAAGATCCATAAATACCAAAAGCAATCTTGGAACTACGTTGAAGGACTTACACTTTTGCCAAACTTAATACCAAGCTACAGTAACTAAAATGGTGTGGAGTGGTTCAATTGGTAGAGCACCTGCCTACAAAGTAAGGCCCTAAGTTCAAGCCCCAGTACCACCAAAAAAACCCAGTGCATTTCTGGGTTGGTATAAGAACAGACATATAAATTAATGAATAAAAGAGAACTAGAAACAAGAAATAAATCCTCATAAGTATGACTGATTATTGACAAACACCATTCAACAGGGAAAGGACAGTCTCTTCAACAAATGGTAATGGGAAAACTGACAATAACATGCCAAACAGTGATGATGGACTCTTAATGTAACATCATATATAAAAATTAACTGGAAATGGATCAAAGAAATTAAAAAGAGCAAAAATTATAAAGCCCTTAGAAGAAAACACAGCAGTAGAGCATGTGCCTAGCATCCATGAGGCCCTAGTACCACAAAAAAAATTTTTAAGTCTTAAGTACGCAAAGTAGCTTTTGATTTAAATGTGATCATAGGTGATAGTCTTAGTCTCATAACTTCTTTACTATTACATATCATATTGCATGTTCTAACATGGTTATTTATAATAATACATTGAAGGCAACGTGATTTTCTTTTCTTTTTAGTTTGTTTTTGATATAGGCTCTTGCCATTTAATCGAGGCTAGCCTGAAACTCGTGATCCTCCTGTCACAGCAGGAGTGCAGGGATTAATCCCCAGTGCTGGGATTACAGGCTGTACAGGATTGTTACTTTTCTTGTCAAAACTAATAGATATGATATCTGTAACAGATATTCTGAAACTACTGGAGATTTAACACAACCGCTAATGGATCATACACAGCAATTTTTAAATTAATAACTTGCATTAATTTAACACTGACTATACATTCTATTAATTCTAGTGTACATGAGAAGTACTTAATAAACATTTATTGAACTGGAAAAAAAAATTTTTTTAAGAATAAAGGAGCCAGGTACCGGAGGATCATGTCTGTAATCCTAGCTACTCCGGAGGCAGAGATCAGGAGGATAATGGTTCAAAGCCAGCATGGGCAAACAGTTTGCAAGACCCTATCTCGAAAACACTCATCACAAAAAAAGGGCTGGTGGAGTGCCTCAGGTGTAAGCCCTGAGTTCAGACCCCAGTACCACAAAAAAAAAAAAAAAGAATAATCTTGTAATGTTGGATTTGGCAAAGACTTCTTGGATATGACACAAGAAGTAGGTAACAAAAGAAAAATAAACTGAACTTCATAAAAATTAAAAACCTGTGCATCAAAAGGACACCAAAGAGTGCAAAGACAACCAGTAGAATAGGAGAAAATATCTGCAAATTATTTATCTAATAAGGAATTAATGTCCACAATATATAAAGAATTCCTATAACCAAACAACAGAAAAATAACACAGTTTAGCCAGACATAATGGTGCGTGCCTGTAATTCCAGCTATTCAGGAACTGAGACAGGAAGATCATGAATTCAAGGCCAGCCCAGGTAAAAGTTAACAAGGTCCTATCTTAAAAATAAACAGGGCTGGAGGCATGGCTCAAGCAACAGAGTATTTGCCTAGCTTCCATAAGGCCCTTGGTTCAAACCCCAGTACTATCGTAACAAATAAATAAACAACAAAGAGTTGAGAGTACAGCTCTAGTGATACAGTGCTTGTCTAGCAAGTAGGAAATTCTGGGTTCAATTCCCGTAACCATGCCCCCCCACACAAAAGCACAATTCAAAAGTAAACAAAGGGCTTGGATAGCATTTATATTGCATTAGGTATTAGACATAATCTAGAGATGGCTTAAAGTACAAAAAAGGATGTGACTAGATCACAGTTTATAACAAGAGACTTGAGTACCCATAAGTTTTAGTATCCCTAGGAGGTCTTGGAACCAGTCCCCCATGAACACTGAGGGACAACTCACATCCAAATGGACATTAAAAAAAAAAAATGCAAAGAACTGAAAGCAAGAATTCACTCAGGCTAGTGGAGTGGCTCAAGTGGTAGAGCACCTGACTAGCAAGTGAGAGGGTCTGGGTTCAAATCCTAGTACTGCCAAAAAAAAAAAAAAGAAAGAAAGAAGAAAATGTAATAAAATAATTGAATCAGATATCTGTACACTCATGTTCCTAACAGCATTACTCCCAATGGTCAAAAGGCAGAAACAGTCCAAATATCCACTGACAGATAAACAAAATGTGGATATATATACAACAGATTATTCAGCTTGAGAAAGGAATTAAATTCTAATAAATACTACATCATGGATGAACCCTGAAAATATGCTGTAGAGTGGAGGATGTAGATAAAACAAAAGGACCCTATCTCATTCAATTCCACCATCTCTGACTCAAGTCTGTGAAATAGGCTTCCTCCCTCCACTAACACCACCTTCCACTACCTCTAATTTGCCAATGGAGCAACAGAAAAGATGATGAAGCAGCAGGTGCAACCTGCTGCATAGACAAGTGGACTCTGTTGTCAGACCTAGGTGTGCACACAAGCTCAGGTAACTTCTTTAAAATTCACTCATAAGCAGGCAATGTGACTCAGTTGTAGAGTACCTGCCTAGCATGTATAAGGCCTTGAGTTTGATCCCTAGCACCAGACAGACAGACACACACACACAAACACAAACATACAGAAAAAAACTCATCAAAATTCACTCATAAGAGACCATAACAGTATCATCTCATCTGCTTATTATAAGGACTCACTGAGTATTAGGTTACTAATACTGGAGCACCTAGCACAGTGTCCAGACAACATAAGCACTCAATAAATATACTTTTTGTGGTGCTGGAGAACAAAACTCAGTGAATATTATCCAGAAGTATTACTTTAGGTGGCAGAAGTCACCTGAAGCTTGTTTTTTCTCAGGAAGGTAGTAAGTTACAAGGACAGTAGCTCAGTGCTGCAGTCAGGCAGACCTGGTTGAAGGCCAGATCCGCCATTCACAAGCTGGGTGACCTTGGGAACCGTTTCTCTATGAGGAATCCTCTCGTCCATTCAGTGGAAGTGGTAACACAAACAATATGTGCAGTACCTGTCAGAGCCAGTAAAACCAAGACTGGAAATCAGCAAATGGCCACCCATGTGAAAGTAAGCAAACAGCACATCAAGCTAGGTCATTCTGGGGTTCCTGAGACACATTTCTGTGTCCTGCTAGATACCAAGATATCGCCATCCCTAAAGTCTACCACCAAATGTTAATAAACACGTGTGTCCTGAAGCCTAGCAGGCATGGTTCCTTTCCCAACTGGGCAGTTAACTTACTCATATATGACCTCAGGCAAATGACAATTTTTATGCCTCTGTTTTCTAGTTATAAACTAGGGATAAGCTTTCTACCACCTCAGGACAGTAATCTAAATTGCGGAGTGTGTATCTTAAACCAATTACAAAGGCTCTAGAGAGGTGCTCTTTTTAGCCACAATAACAAGAGAGAGCACATTTGAATACTAAACTACTTCATAATAAATTAAAACTGATTCTTTCAATTTAAATTTATAACTAAAAGAATGAATATGAAGCTGGATGCAGTCCTCATACCTGTAATCCCGGCATTAGGGAAAGCTAAAGCAAGATGAAAATTCAAGGCCAAACTGGGCAATCAATTTGACCCTGTCTCAAAATAAAATAAAGGGGCTGAGCATATAGTTCAGCGGCAGAGCACTTGTCTAAGCGCCCTGGGTTCAATCCCTAATAAATAAATAAACAAATATGGAGATACTTATATTTGTATATACTGTGTTTTTTACATCATCTGAGCAGTGGGAATGCTACAAAAGTATGAAACACTTAAAACTTAAAGTATATTAGCACACATTTAAAAACATGGTCTTCAGTTAGGCATCACTCAGAAACACCTAACATGCATTGAGCACTAAAATGCATACCTGAGTCAGATACCTGAGTCTGACTCTTTATTAAAAGCTTCACTCTTTAGCACAGCACGCTGAACAGCACACCAAGCACACCAATAAGGACACTGCATAACCAAAAACAATGCATAAGCAAAGACACCCATCATTAAAGAAAACTTCTGTGTTCACTTGTCAAGAATTATTATTACAAAATTGCCAGAGTTTAATCGCCAAGCTGGAAATGCCGCCTTAGAAGGTCGTGCAGTAAGTGACCAGACTAGAGGAGGGTCGTGTAAGCCCCGCCCCACCCCCACCCGGACTCACTGCCCCCTTCATCATTTCCATCTGCACAACTTTCTGGGATGCAAGCAACTCTGATCCCTGCGTGTAGCGCTTTCGCGTCAATATAATCCTATAAATACCTGAAGTAATCACCCAGAAATAAACAGAAGCAACATTAGTGAGCAAAGTTTACATTTAAGCAATACAGAAAACTAGAAGACAAGCAAACTCAGCAAAGAAGCTACGTGTTGCCTCCAAATCAGATCTACCGAAAGAGGCTGGAGTGGACAGCATGGTGTCCCCCGCACTGTGGAAACCCCAGACAGTCTCAAAGCAGGTTCTAGAAGCGAAGCTGCCCGGGGCGTCAGAGCCGGAGACGCCACAGACACAACGGCGCGACCCCGTCCCCGGTGGTGGCAGGGGGGCGGCGGCGGGGGACGTTCAGCTTGGCCTGGCCGGGAGGCGCGGCCGGGTGAGGGTGGAAACGCCACGCCTAGCCCCTACCCAGGCTGCTGGACAGCGCCCACGCCCGCGCGCCCCTGTCCCCGGCGGCCCCCTACCCCGGAACTCCCCGGCACGCACGGCGGGAGGCCCAAGCCAGGGCCCGCGGGCAGGCGCGGTGGGGACGCGCGCGACGGTACCTGTGGCGGAGGCAGTTCCCGAGCGGTGGCAGTGACGGCGGAGAGCAGCGTGCGCGCTCTCGGGCCGCGGTCCGGGGCTGGGTGCCCTCCCTGTGCCTCCCGGCTGCAGGGCGCCGGCGCAGCTCCCCGCCCCTTCACCTCTCACCTCCTACCTTTCCCCTCCCGCCCCGCCGCTCTCCACACGTGCTCCCAAAGGCGTGCGCATGCGCAGTTCAGTCTGACGTGCGGCTCTCGCCTGCCCCCTGGCGGCCGCCTTCCGCCCAACCCGGAGGGAATGTGGTGATGGCACTAGAAAGAGCACCACCGTTTTGGACAGCACGTTCCCAAGAGTCACCAAGAACAAGCACAAGATTCTCTTGTTCCCCGTCTTATAACAGCGAATAATTATAAGCGAGGTTGGGGATGTGGCTCTCTCGAGACTCTGGGTTTGATCCTCAGCATCGCAAAAAAAGAAAAAAAGAATTAGAAGCAAATGGTTGAATGAATTGTGTGCCTAAAATTTCTCTGCAGCCATTTCAAGGATGTCTTGTGACTACTGCCTGACTTTGAAAGGTATTCTTGAAAGAAGGTTCCAAACGAGCTGTCGCGAATGATCCCATTTTTGTTAGAAACACGATGCAAGAAGAAGTGTCTAGGGATAGTGGTATGTGGTCCCTGGTTATCTCCGGGTTGGGAGGGTTATAGGCGTTCGAGATTCTCCGTTTGCTGATCGGCCCCCAATCATTTTGTGCATGGAACAGTTAATATAATTCCAATAGCTAGGTTGAGTGTTTGAGCTAAGAAGTTTGCACACGTCCTTCCTGAAAACGGAGGCGGATCTCACAGAAGGGGAAGGCAAGGCTGGTCCACGCTAAGGAGCACAGGTGGTCCCCGCCACCCAGCACTGACTGAACCCGGAACCCTGTTCTTTGCTCTTGTCCTTGGGCCCACCCGCTAGGAGACCTTGATCACACCTCCCCACACCCGTGCTGCCCTAGTTGTTGGCTCTTGGAGTATCAGGGCCAGCTTCACCCCCACCCTACTGCTCTAAAAATGCTCCTGCCACGCACCTCGCCGTGGCTCACCCCTAGCACTACCTGGATAAAACACCCTGTTTCTGCTCTCAAAGGCACCAGTGCAGGGGCAACGGACAGTGCAGATACAGCCACAATGCAAGGCAGAATTGGGAGGTGGCCCTTTTGGCCACTCCAGCCACTATGACCTTTCTATGCCTTCTTTGGAAAAGTCAGACAGGTCCCTCAGCTGGGTTCCCATCAGTCCTTGGAGTGCCTCTGCAAGGTTGTCAGTCTGGCCTCCCTTCCCACCCCCACATGTCGGGTAGTGAAATTAAACAATACCAAGGACATGGTCCTCCGTTCAAAGTGACCCTTGGGATTACGCCTGTGTTCAGGGTTGGGCTTTGGATTAAGATGGTAATTTTTATTCTATAAAGAAAGAATTCCTAGCCAGGTGTGGTGCCTGTAATCCCCTCACTCAGGAGGCTGAAGCAGGAGGATCATGAGTTCAAGAACAGCCTGGGCTACATAATGAGACTGAAGAAAGAGGAGGAGGAAGAGAAATCTTTTTGTTTGATATTTTTAAATTGGAAGCAACACTAGAGAGCAGTGTAGAGAGCATTGCCTTTGCCCTTCCCTATCCTTACATCACTCTCTCCAAGTCTGATCCCTTAAAATACCATTATCTGTCCCCTCAGAAACCTTGGGTGTGACAGATTCTCCCTCTCTCTCCATTGCCTCTTTCCTCTAGGCAAACAGAAAATCTATCCAGTTGTTTTTGTTTGTTTTGTAGTGCTGGGAATTGAATACAAAGCCTTGCTGGCAAAGTGTTTCAAGTGGTACAGTGCCTGCCTAGCAAGTATGAGGACCTGAGTTCTAACCCCAGTGCCAAAAAAATAAAATAAATTTATAAGCTTAAAAAAAACAAAAGCCTTCAGCATGCTAGGCAAATAAATGCTGTACCACTGAGCTCTACGAAGTCTTTTAAGTTTCTGATTGAAAACTATTATGATCCCTTTCTTCTTCTACCAAAATCCTAAAAATAACGTGTTCCTAACTCATGTCACAGCATAAACCCAGGGAATATTTAAATTTAAATCAGGCTTCCTGAGCCCTAGGCCCACTGGACTACAGTCTTCTCTCTAGGAAGGATCAGGAGCCTGTTAAAAATCTCCAAAGCAGGGACTTAGCCACACTGTTTGGGAATTGCTGCCCTGCCCCCTTACTCCCCATCCAACCACTACACCAAACTCCTATGTCTGCAAGGAGACTCACGCTCAGTGAGATCTGAACAATCCCTCTCCAAAACTGACAAGCACTTAGCTAAATACCTCAATGCCTTGACAGTGAACAATCCCTCCATAAGGGATTGTTCTCCCACTGAAAGTCTCTGTGGGAACTGAGGCTTATAGAGTTCTGGTAAATCTGCTATAGAATCCTCCCCCCACCCCATTCTGTGGAGTAAATAAAAGGCCATGATTTTAGGGCTTCTTCCTCAACATTGTACCATGAAAACATACAGAGAAGTTCAAAAGGCCAGTGACAATGAATATACCCTAGATTCTACAACTGTTAATGTATCTCATGTTTGTCTAAATTCTATTTCTTTAACCGTCTATCAACACTTATTTTTTTTTAAGCTAAAATATCACCAAATTTATTTAACAGATAAAAACTAGCAAGATTAGTACAAATACATATTAAACATTTCAAACTGTCAAGTCAAACTCAACACTTATTATTATTACTATTATTATCATTTTGTCAGTACTGGAATTTGAACTCAGTAGTTCACACTTGCAAATCAGGTGCTTGCAGGTGCCGGATGACACACCTGTAATCCTAGCTAATCAAAAGGCAGTGATCAGGAGGATCGAGGTTCAAAGCCAGCCAATCTTTCACCAGAAAAAAAAAAAAAAAACAGGGGGAGGTTGGTGGAGTGGCTCAAGGTAGGCCCTGAGTTCAAACTGGAGTACTACAAAGCAGGTGCTCTACTGCTTTAGCAACACCTCCAGTCCATTTCACTCTATTATTTTGAAGATGGGTTCTCAAGAACTACTTGCCCAGGCTGGCCTCCAACCAAGATCCTCCTGATCTCAGTCCAAGAGTCTCTCCCAAGTAGCTAGGATTAAAGGCAAGAGCCACCAGCAGCCCACCTTTTTTCTTCTTTTAAAGACAGGAGTCTTGCTATATTCCCCTGAATTCCTGAGCCCAAGCACTTCTGTCTCAGCCTCCTGAATAGCAGGATTACAGGTGCGCAATACCACATCTGGTTTAACAACCAATTATGAGTTCTTCAGTGCTTGCCATAGGCAGGCTTTATAATATATTAGTTCATTGTCCTTTAGAGGCATGTAAAGTAGACCCCATTTTAAGGATGTAAAAGCTGTAGCATCCAGCACTTTAACAACCTACCTGAAAACACACACTTGGTTAGTGGCAGGGAAGGTATTAAATGCTGACCCACCCAACCCTAAACCCCCAAACTTCTACCACCAAGGTTCCAAGTTCAATGAGGGGAAGGTAATTGATTGGCAGGAAACCAAAGTAGATATCCAAGAAGATGCTATTTGAGGAAGGCCTTACAGAGTTCAAGTGTGCCACATAACAACAGTATCACTAATGCTTAAACCACTGAATGATTCCAACAATCCATCAAATAGACACTATTCCCACCCCCAACCCCGCCCCCGGGCCCCTGCTTTATTTTTTTTTGGCAGTACTGAGTTTGAACTCAGGGCCTCACTCTTGTTAGGCAGGCACTCTACCCCTGAGTCACTCCTCCAGCCCTCTCCCCTCTTGTAGATGAGGGAATAGAGGCCTATAGAGGTTAAATAACTCAAATGATGTCATTATAGTCAAGTTACTTCAAGACTCCCTTTCCCATAAGTGGATCATAGACACACCCCTGGCCCACTGTTAGCTGGCTGTGGAACGAAGGTAGGGACCCACCTCTCCCTCGAGCTTGGGGACAGGAATTAAGAGGTTAGACCACTGTTAAAATACTGCTAAAGCACTTACTGATAAGCCTTCCTTGTAAGCACTCTTTTGGAATGTGCTGAGATGTTGGGAGCTGAGGAAATATAACTCCCTAAATGACAGATGTTAAGACCCTTTGCCAGCCAGGCAGCAAGACCAGCTTCATACCAGCACCTACCCAAAACAGGACCCTGGCTCCAGAAGGCACTGCCTCAGCAAATCTCTTGCACCAGGTTCTTTTGTGTTTGTTTTTACCACTACAAGCCAAGAGGAACTCTAGATGTCTCTGTAGCTATTTCCACCAGGCAACAGGAGGAGCACTTCCTGGTGGCCCAGCAGAAGAGCTGTGACTGGTACACACACAGTCCTTCACTTGCACAAGGGTGACAGGGCCTGTGCCATGATAGGTGCAAATATAATCCTTCATTTGCATGAGGAGACTGCTGTGATTGGTTCTAGCACCCTTGTCATAACCCCTTCTGGCTACTTACTTCTCACCTCTTAAGCAGCCAGGAGACAACCTCCTTTGCTTCCTGCCCCTCTGGTGTTGGAGTATCAGGTACAATAAGAGCTTTCCTTGATTACCTTTGATTCTCCTTCTCTGTCATTAGTAGAGGAGCTGAGCTCCTAACACAAAGAACAGCAAGGCAGTGGTGGGGGCGGCATGAGCAGAAGGCAAGCATATGGCTTTAGGGCAGCCAGCCTTGGCTGATGAAGGCAGATCAGGCCTGAGGCACCAGAGGCAGGACGCAGCAGCAACAACAGCCTCCCAGCTCACAAAGTGAAAGTGACATCTGCTGATTGATATGGGCTGATCCCAACTGGTTGTGGAGAGATCCCTCCTGCAAAAAGAGCTGTAACCCTTGAGGCCTCAGGCCCACCCCTGCAGCCCAGAACTTTGTGCTAACCCCCCCTCCTGTCAAGTGCTTTGGGCCAACTGCCCCAACGGCTATCATCCACTGGCTCCACTTGCAAACACTTGCCAAAGGCCCAGTGTAACTGCAAGGAGCTGCTCCTCACCTATCCACAATTTCTGTCTGGGTAGAGCAGGACACCAGCCAGCTAGTTTGTGACTGGTGCAGTGCATCCCAGGTGAGGGCACATTCCTTCTCCACTGTCAGCCTTGGCCAATAAAGTGTAAATGAGAATAACCTACACTAGGCCTGGCAGAAGCTTTAAGACCCATTGCTTGTGTGAATGAGTCTCTTGGTCTTTCCCCTAGCCTGGGTTCTAGGATGAGAAGCCATGTAGAACAGCTCGGTAGCAAAAGACCCTGACACGTGAGTGAAAAATGTTTGTTGCTAAAGCTACTGGGATTTGGGGGCTGTTTGGTATGACAGCAGAGCTATAAGTAAGTGGCAGAGTCAGGATCCTAACCTGGATAGGCATAATTTAAATTCTGTAAAATTCACCCATTTTAAGTGTATTAACTAATGCTTAGTAAATGTATAGTGAAGCATCATCAGAATCTCACTTTAGCACATTTTCATCATCCCAAGAAACCTAATGAAGTCACGTCCCATTTTCACTCCAAGTCCCAAGGAACTACTAACCTATTGTCTGTCTCTACAGATTTGCCCACTTTTTTTGTGTGTGGTACTGGGGATTAGACCCAGGGTCTCTCTACTCCAAACCCTTATAGATTTGCCCTTTCTGGACATTTCATTTAAATGGAATTACAATATATGGGTTTTTGTATCTGGCATACATGTGTTACAGAATATATCAGTATTTCATTCCTCTTTTATTGTTGAATAATATTGCACTGTAGTGGTAACACTGCATTTTTGTCATTAGTTGATGGACATTTAGTATTTCCACTTTTTGGTTATTATGATAAACACTGTTATGAACATTCACATAGACATTAACAAAGGAGTGTTTGTGTAGACATATATGATCACTTCTCTTGAGTAGATACAATGAGCCCAATAGCTGGGTCATAAGTCTATGTTTAACATTTTAAGGAATTGTCAAGTTGTTTGCCAATGTGGTTGCACCATTTTACATTCTCACCAACAATGTATGAGTACACTAACTTACCCATGTCCTTACCAACACTTGTTACTGTCAGTCTTTTGTCCATAGTCATTTTAGTAGACATGTAGTAGAATCTCATTGTGTGTTTAATTTTTATTTCACATGGCTAGTGATGTTGAACATCTTCAGTGTTTTTTTGCCCAGTGCTGGGAACAGAACCCAGGGCCTCCTTGTGAGTGCTAGGCAAGCATTCAATCACTGAGCCACATCCCCAGTCTTTTCTTTTTAAGACAGGGTCTCACTATGTAAGCCAGGCTGGACTAGAACCTGCAATCCTCCTGCCTGCCTGCCCACTAAATGCTGGGATTATAGGTATACACAACCATGCCTGGCATAAGCATCTTTTTAAATGTGTATTAGTCATTTCTATGTCTGCTTTAGTAAGATGTCTATTCAAATCTTTGCCCGTTTTTAAACTGGGTTATGTGTGTTATTATTGAGTTGTAAGAGTTCTTTCTATATTCTGGATACAAATCTCTTATTGTATATATGATTACAAATATTTTTCAGTAAAACAAATAAACTCAGAGAAAAATTCTAAAACTGATATAACAAAGAAAGGTAACTACCCAGAGCCAGTGACTTGTATCTGTAATCCCAGCTACTTAGGAGGCTGAGATCAGGATGATTACAATTCAAGACTGTTTTCACCCAACTCTGCATCATTATTAAATCAATAAAAAATATGTTAAACCCAAGGTTGGTAGGGGAAAACCTACAACTGGCTCCATCACTCTGCAATAACCTGACAGTGTGCAAGTTCTGCTGTAATCAATTCAGCAATTCCACTTCATGGTGTAGATTCTAAAATTCCATCAGCCCTTATCATTCATTGGCCTGCTTTATTTCTAACACTTCTCCTGGTCTGATTCTACACATACTTCTCAGTTTTGTTGACTGTCTCCACCACTAGAACATCAGTTCCATGAACTCTACAAGTAACCTATTTGGTCAGTATTCTAAAGAAACATGTACTTGTCCCCACCCCAATAAGTATAATATGCAAAATTCTTTTTTTTTTTTTTTGGGAGAGTACACTGGGGTTTGAATTCAGGATCTTTCACATGCCAGGCAGGTGTTCTACCACTTGAGCCATGCCCCTGTAACACATAAAATTCTTTTTTTTTTTTTTTTAAGTTTTAGCAAGGATTTATTTTAGTTTAACAGGATAAAGTAGGAAAAAAATGGGAGAAACAGTTCCTGCTCCCAGAGCAGGAAATGGGAGTAAAGACTCCTAATATAGGAAATTCTTTTTTATGGTAGGACTAGGGTTTGAACTCAGGATTTTACACTTGCAAAGCAGATGCTCTACCACTTAAGCCACACCTCCAGTCCATTTTTGCTCTGGTTATTTTTGAGATGGTGTCTTGTGAACTAGTTGCCCAGGGTGGCCTTGAATCGAGAGCCTCTCAATCTCAGCCTCCCAAGTAGTTAGGATTACAGGTGTGACCCACTGGCACCTGGCATTTTTTTTTTACTATCTTTCCTTTCCTTTTTTTTGCAGTACTGTTGTTTGAACTGAGGGCCTCACGACTGCTAGTCAGCCATTCTACCACTTGAGCCACTCTACCAGTCCTCTTTTCTTTTAATATATAAAATTCTTAACAGCATAGACAAGCACAAGGCCCTGAGTTCAAATCCCAGGGCTGCCAAAAAACAAAACAAAAAAACTCTTAACAGCCTGAGAGTCAAAACCAGTACCTACATGCACAGAGAGTAGCTAAGAAAATTAGAAATATAATACCATAAATGCTGAATAGCCATAAACATTAAAAAAAAAAAAAGCTAGTGGAAACATTTAGAAACTAAGTGAAGAAATATAATAGCAGCAACATTCCTATCATGTAAAAAATGGTGCCTTGCCCATGAAGAAATATAGCTCCAATGAAGGTTGCATTAATTTAAAAGAAAGAAAAAGAATGTAATGATTCTTTTTTTTTTCCTTATTATTATTATTATTTTTTTTGCAGAACTTGGGTTTGAACTCAGGGCCTATACCTTGAGCCACTCCACCAGCTCTTTTTTGTGATGGGTGTTTTCCAGATAGGGTCTTACAGACTATTTGCCCGGGCTTTTTTTTTTGAGACAGGGTCTCTCTATAGGCTGGCCTCAAATTCAAGATCCTTCTGCCTCAGCCTCCTAAGTGCTGAGATTATATGCATGTACCAACACACCCAGCTATATTCCATAATATCTATTCTCTCTTACATTATTTCTACTCATAATTTTCAAATATTCTATCATGTCTACAATATTTTGAAAACAAAAGCAGGTACTGTTTCAGCAGGGTTAAACGACACACTAGTCAGTTTGAATTGAGGGGAAAGGTGATAGATTTTCCCATTTAAAAAAGACAAATGTAAAAAAGTCTTTTATAAATATAAAAAAGTTAAACAACAGATATGAAAGTTTCTTAGTACACTGCAAAATAGTGTGTGTGTGTGGTTCTGTTTTTTTTTTTTTTTAATTCGTTACTAAGGTTCAAACTCTGGGTCTTGCATTTGCTAAACCAAGCACTCTACTACTGGAGCCACGCCTCTAGCCCTTCATTTGTTTTTAAGATAAAAGTCTTTGTGGTCATAATTTATCAGCAAAAAACAATGCATCCATTGTAAAAGGATACCCTTGGTGTGTTTGCTGAGGTGACCTTCACTAGGGTTAAGTGGGTCCATTTGTCATCAAAGAACACAAGGCCAAGGACTCCCCCTTTATTAGCATTCCTTGAAGGAGAGAGAAGCAGCAGTTCCTTACCAAGGCCTCATCCTGTGGGTCCCTCCACAGGACCTCATGTGACCAAAGCCCTGGTACCTGATGACTATGACTGATGTATAGGCCAGGCACTGCAGAAACAAAAGTAGAAGGCTCACACCTTTGGGTGGGATGCCTGCCTCTGGTCTCTATGACTGTGGGTCAGCAAGGTAGACTTTGGAGCCAGGCCCCATTACCTACAGCCTTCTCTAATCCTTAAATGTGCTGCAACCCTCTTCAAGCCATTTTCTCACTGGACTTCAAGGGATGGAGATGAAACCCTACAGACAACCCACAAGATGCCCAATGTGGGAATGCAGTTTATTCCAGTCACCATTATCCTAGTTGTTATCCTGGCTGCCTGCCATCTAGGACAATGTCCTGGCTAATACATTCTACCCACTCTGAAAGGCACACCAACCAAAGATGGGCAGATGGGCCTAAAGCATATTTACGTGGAAGGCTGCAAAGAACCCCTTCACTGGGATTTACCATCCTGCCTCTCTCAGCAGAGGCATGGTATGGATTCCTCACTGTGTTTTTTGAACAGGGCTCAGGGGAACAAAGGTATACACACCTCGCACCACCATTCAACTTTCCCTGCTCACAGAGGAGCTGCCAGTCCAGCCTGAAATACTGCTATAGAGACATAAAGCCATTCCTGCTAGGCTGCTTTATCTTCCACATCCAAAAACTATCCAAAGTAGCCCCCAAATCAAGTCACAGAACAGCAGGAGACATTCCTTTGGCAAAAAAGGACACAGTCTTGTCTTGTATCTTGTACTGGTAAGTGAGGCTCCGATCCCGCTGGGCTGTGGGCTGAGATGGTCTCCTCCACAGGATCCTCAGCTGCAAAGAGGGAGAAGATTGAAAGAGAGGTGGCTACCTTGAGTACCTCTCCACTGTAAACCCCACTCTGCCCTCTCTTGACCTTCAATTGAGGCTTCCATGAGATTACAGTCAAATGCATCATCCAGTAATGGGACCGATTTCTAAAATAAACTTACTACCAGCTAACTAAACATAAAGGTTCCTCCCTCCATTACAGTAGAAATATTTGCTCACTCACTACAGAAAAGAAAAAGGAGGAGAAAAAGTCCCAGAGCAAAATTGCAAAAGTATTTTATTTTTCCCTTTGTTCTTCCTCTCTGTATGGTTTTGTACTTGTTGGCTACATTGATATTGAAAACAAACACACAGGGAGGCTGGATGCTTTATTCTGCTCTTCCGCTGACTGAAATGCTTGGGGAATAAGCCTGTGAGGGAATGCAGCTGCCCAGCCAGAAACTTCTCCCCATACTGTACCACAGCACCCCAATCACAGTATTCCTGATATTTCTCTTTTGCTTAATTTACAAGACTTGCATCTGAGTGACTCTAGGCCAAGACTCCCAACCAACTACCCTCTCTGGGTCAAGAGTGGTCAACATGAAGTTAACTGGAAGATGTGGTGGAGGCCCCTGGATGACTTCAAAAGAGAACATGTAATAGGCACAGAACCACAGCAGCCCTGTGGGAGTGGTAGAAGTGGCTTCTTTCCAAACATTTGAGCAGAGGTAGCAGTGGGGGAAGTAGCAACCCTGCTCCATGGGTATGGCTGGGCCATATCTTTATTCTCAAAGCTGTAGTACTTCAGAGGAAGTTTGCTGTCATTTGATAGCATGGTTCCTGCAATCTACTCAAAACAGCTGTCTGCTAAGAGCGCTTTGGTCACAAATGGGACTATCATGGAAAATGTGTCCTAGTCTATGAGGCGAAGCACAGGCTGAGAAACATAATGTCCTAAGTTTCCCTTCCACTGTAGGAATGTCCCAAGCCTGGATGTCCCTCTCTCAGGTCTGACATTCTCCCCTATACAGACTGGACTCAGAGGCAGAGCCCTGGGCCCCAGCTCCTGCATACCTGCCCATGCACATCCTTGCAGAAGCCTGTGGCTAGGCCTTCAGCCCGCAGGATCAGGTGGCTCTGATGGCTGAGGCCATTCAGCAGGATGTCATTCTCCTCATCCTCAGCATCTCCCCTGTCGTGCACAAGGGCCACCACATTTCCCTGCATCAGATACAAGATGAAAACCTGCGCCTTACCAAAGGGACACCAGGACCACAGGTTCAGTGTCTCCATCCTCCCACTCCTGCACATGCTCTCACAATCACCCTCCCTGTTGCTGCTACAACCAGCCCCTTTGTGGGAAGGACTCTGCTGGGCTCTGGGCCCCTAGTTCCAATAATCTACTGGACACTTTCACCAACAAATCCAACCTGAACTCCTCGCTTAATTTATCTAAGCTCACCCTAGGGTCTTCAAAATCAGTTCAATTAGTCTCTTCAATTCCTGAACGTTATAAGAAGTGCCACATTCATCCAATTCCTGAGAACTTACTTTTTAATAGGCACCACATTAAGAATAAGAGATGTGGACCCTGAGCCAGGCACAGTTGGCTCACGCCTGTAATCCTAGCTACTCAGGAGGATCACGGTTCGAAGCCAGTCCGGGCAAATAGTTCACCAGACACTATCTTGAAAAAACCTATCACAAAAAAGGTCTGGTGGAGTGGCTCAAGGTCTAGGCCCTGAGTTCAACAAACCCCAATACCGCCAAAAAAAGGAAGTATCAAAGAATGTGGGTGGCAGGTTACCAGCAATGTGAAGGCAAATGCAGGAAAAGAATTCATATACAAATATGTTCACAACTGCACTGTCCAGGAGCACAGGCACTGGAGGAAGGAAACAATTAACTTTGTTGCTAACATACCCTTTATACTGTTTCTCTCTTCTTTTTTTTTTTTTTAAACTACTTTTTTCTTTTTTGTTGGTATTGGGGATTGGATGCAGGGACTTGCCCATGCACCTCCAATCCCAAATTGTCACTTTTTTTAACTTTTATTTTTTACTTTTTCAACTAATGGAAGTATTTTTGCAAATATCAAGTGGTAATAGGTCACAGAGCAAGCTAAACTTCAGAAGATGGCTCTACGTACTTCATTCCTGCCCTCCAAGCTCCTTACATTTCCTCCTCTTTCCACACTCTCTGCATTGCCCTGGATCCTGGCACTGTGACTGTAGCCTGGACAGCTTCAGAAGTTCCCTAACACAGCTTCCAGGAAGGACTGCACACAGATGGACTAAACATGCTTTGCCAGATATCCACACCCCTGGCTAACTCATTCAACTCATCTCTTTCACCGCTCTACACTCTCGGCCCAGTTTTCCCACACCAATGTCCACAGATTCCTACAGGCTGCACCATCACCCACTGAAGAGCAGTACCATGGGCCAGACACTGTGCTGGATGCTTTGGTATGTTACAAGCTTCATCAATCTTGCTGTCAGGTACCAGTGAGGTAGGCACCACAGCCATTCCTATTTTATTGGTGGGTCCATTCTTATTGTTAAAATCTCTATTATGGCAAACTCTAGTTTTGTCTCATAATTTGATAATAAAGGTAGTACCTTACATCCCATAATTGTCTTACACTTTATCATTTTAAAAGCAGATTAGTATGAGGCTCTGGGATTAGTCCTCCATTATTAAGCCCTCCTTCAAAATACACTGAAGTATGGTAACTCATCCCAAGACACACAGGTTGGGACTACAGAAGTGCCACACATGACCAACCTCACTGAACACAGTGCTGATCTTTCCTTTAATTATAAAGGATTTATTTTTTAGCAACAGTAAGTAGGGCAGAGAAAAATGAGTGAACCAAAAGGCTTTAGGGCCTGCCAGAGGATAGCCAAACCCCAAGCAAGTAAACAGAGATTGTAAGCATGCGAGTCTGGGTCTGCCTGGGCTCTTAGAGGTCCCAGGTGGAAGCAAAGGGAGCAGTTCCATCAGCACCTTTAGTTCCCAGCATACAGTAGCTCTGCAGTAGTGGATGAAGTCCAGCACGGCCACAGCTCCCAAGCCCAAGCTCAGCAGCACACTGAGGTCGTCCACCAGAAGCACCGGGCACCTCCATGTAGCCTCCCCATGGTCCACGGGCTTCAGAGCCTCCCGTACAAACTCATACAGCGGTTGTAGGCTCCCAGCACTGGCCTCCCTGGAGACAAAGGACAAAAACAACCGGAGCTTACTCTCTACAAATATTAATCTAGGACCAAGTGGCACCAGGAAAGGGCTTGAGGGAGGCAAAGAACTATATCATAGTCCTGGGTGATCTGGAAAAGAAAAGATGCACACACGTTCATGAATTTGTTTTACTCCAATTCAGTATTTCCTGAAGACTTCTAGGTACAAAGTACTGTGCTAGAATCTGGGGAAACAAAACTGAACACTCTGGGGCCTTTAAAAGACACCATACAAGCTGGGTATGGGTGTGCATGCCTATAATACCAGGTACTTTGGAGGCCAAAGCAGGAAGATAGTGAGTTTGTGGCAATGTAGAAAGACCTTATCTCAAAAAGGGAGAGCGGGAGAGAGAGGGAGCAATAACCCATGCACCTTCTCAGTCCAAGAGTTTACAGCTTCTAGAAGATTAACTCAGATTGGGCAGGCAAGAGAAGCTTTCCCAGAGGGTCATGTATGGCTATGAAAAGTTAAACAGGGCCAAGCAAGGTAGCTCATGCCTATAATCCTAACTACTTGGGAGGTAGAGATCAGGAGGACTGAGGTTCGAGGTCAGCCTAAGACAAAGAAGTTCACGAGATTCCCTGTCAACCAGCAAAAGCTAGGCATGGTGATGCATGCCTGTCACTCCAGCTATGCAGGAAGTGTAAACAGGAGGATCAAGGTCCAGGCTGGCCCAGGCATTAACTTAAGACCCTATTTAAAAAATGACTACACCAGGTGCCAGTGGTTCATGCTACTCAGGAGGCAGAGATCAGGATTTCGGTATGAGACCAACATGAGCAAAAAAAAAAACAAGACCCTATCTCAAAAATAACCAACATAGCGGGTGCCAGTGCCTCATGCCTGTAATCCTAGCTGATCAGGAGGATTGTGGTTCAAAGCCATCCCAGGCAAATAGTTCATAAGACCCTATCTTGAAAACACCTAACACACACAGTAAGAATGGCTGGTGGAGTGCTCAAAGTATAGGCCCTGAGTTCAAGCCCCAATACTAAAAAAACAAAAGACTAAAGCAAAAAGGGCTGGGTTCAAGTGGTAGAGCACAGGCAGGCTCTGAGTTCAAATCCCAGTACCACACACACTAAAAAGCTAAACAGCATTTCAGGTGTCCTGGTCCTAAGGGACAATGGTCTACAGGCTGCTTGTACACACCACAGATCTGATCTGTTTCTGACACCAGCTGACCCCCCCAACCTTGGTCTTTCCCAGTGGATACCCTAGCAGTCATTTCCCAGCAGTAGAGGAATGGAACACACAGTGCACAGAGCAACCGCCCTACTGATTAATGCTCCAGGGGTGAGCCCCCGGCTTTTGGTTATCCCCACTAACAAGGACAGCTCCCCACACCTTGGGATCAGGTGTGATCAGCCCCTAGGTTTAGATGAAGAGAAGTGGTCACAGGTCCTAAGGAATGTGTCACACAATCAGAGAACACAGCCTTCTAGTCATTGCATGAGGTATGTGGGAAAAAGAGGCAGTGGGCAGAGTTCCTGTACGGACCCCTCTGTGGTAGATGAAGAATAACAGCCAAGTTTGGGGCTGATGCTCAGAAAGGAGGAGTAGGGAAGCCCATTTCAGATCCACAAATACTAACCAGATAACGATAATTTTTTTCCACAAAGGGCCACATAGTAAACATTTAGGCTTAAAGGTCATATGGTCTCTGTCTCAACTACCAATTCTGTTGCTGTACAGCAAAACACCCACGGACAGTATGCAAACAAACATGGCTGTGTTCCAAAAAAACTTTACAAAAACAGGTAGCTGGCCCATTGCCCTTAGATGGCCAATCTCTGTAAGAAGCCAAAAACAAAGCAGAGGTGAGTGTGACAGGGCTCTAAGCCTGGGTTGGACAATCAGAAAACCATGTTGTTCTGCTGTAGTCCCAGCTAATGATGGTTTTTATAGCTTTAAGGACAACTATACACATCTGGCCCCATGATGAGAGCCAAGGGCTTTCTGATAATGCTAAAACACTAGGTGAAGTACCTGACCCCAATTACCTGACGCCAATTCTGCCCTCCCACGTAACAAGCAGGAGGAACTACACACAATAACCCGTTACACAATTCCACCTGCCAGCTGTGCAATTCTGACCTGAGAAACTGCAGGGGGTGTGGTTCCTCCTGAGTCTGGAAGAAGATATCCACAGAGGACTTGAGACCCTCCAGGAACACGAGCTGCCCACGTTCCCGTGCCACGGTCAGGCTGACACCCTAAACATGACAAAGAAGGGAGTGAGCTGCTTTGCCTTGTAAGGAAACCCATTAGACATATTAGATGGGCAGCCCACAAAAGGGTGCAAGACACATTCCAAACCCTGAAAATGTGCACCTGTCTACTCTTCAAATGGCCCCATGTCTTCTTTCTCCTGGGTGCTCCCAACCCACCATCTCCATTTTTTCAGACATGTATTTCTATTTAATTGTCACATTTTTAAAAATACACATTCTGTTTGTATATGCATTTTTATGATTATGCAATTTTTGTTTTTTGGGTTTTTTTGCAGTGCTGGGGATCACAGGATGGAGAATTTACTTGTAATGAGTTCTTATTGTATATCAAGCCATCTAACAGTTGCAGTCTGTAAGTTGTGTTCTTTAAAACCCCAGAACAAAGGCCAGGTACAGTGGCTCATACCTATAATCCTAGCTACTCAGGAGACAGAGATCAGAAGAATTGCAGTTTGAGGCCAGCCAGGGCAAAAAATTCATGAGACTCCATCTCAACCCATAAAAGCTGGGCATGGTGGTACATGCCTGTTATCCCAACTACAGAAGAAGCATAAAAAGGAGGAATGCAGCCTAGGCCAGCTTGGGTATAAATGTGAATACCTATTTCCAAAAATACATAAAGCAAAAAGGGCTGGGGGTGTGGCTCAAGAGGTAGAGTGCCTACATAGCAAGCACAAGAGCCTGGGTTTGAACCCCAGTACCACCAAAAAACAAAACAAAAACTTCAGAACAACCTTGAGGTTTTATGCCAAAGATGCAGAACGGGACAGACAAAGACAAAAGTCTGGTCATTTCTCCTGCACAAGCATTTTCTAGATGTTGACCACTCACGTATCTTCTTCTTATTACTGATCTTAAATGTACTTGGTTTTATAAATACATGTATTTTAAAATGAAAACTTATATTACTATTGTAAATTAAAAACCAGTATTGGGGGCTGGGGTATAACTCAGTGGTAGAGTGGTTGCCTACCATACACAAGGCCTTGGGTTTGATCCTCAGCACCACAAAACAAAACAAAAATCTCTAGGCCTGATTTCAGACCACCAGAATGAAGACAGGCCTGGAGTTTGTATTTCAATCAACACTCAGGGTTCATGATGCACTGTAAATATGCAACAGAAACAGATCACATGGAACTCTAAAATCCCCCATTCTCCTAGACTAGGTCTTAATTGCTCATTAATATACCAAATGCCCAGTGTCCTCCAATAGCCAACATTATCTGGTCCAACAGCTGCCCTGACAGAGAAAAAAACTTGATCATCACCTTTGCTCTTGCTCATTACCAGGCTATTACAAGGCAACAATGAGTACTGCAACTTATTGTTGTAGTAAGTGCAACAATGTGCCCTGCACAGACACTCATGCTCTAGTGCTTCACATGCCAAATACTATGTATGCCATGCCTGCTGTGCTGGTGATGATGCAAAGGTAAAAGAAAAAGGGGCCAATTGAGACAGGAGCATTCACAGCTTTCTTAGTCAGAAACACAGATGCTAGGGCAATGACACATGTTCTCCCTCAAGCTCATGCCCTCAACAATAACACAGGAGCTTCTTCCTTCTCTGCAAAGGATGGAAAAAAGTTTTCCTTTCTCTCACCTCCTTATTTGTTTCTTTCTCCCCAATACAGAGGAGACAGTGATGTGGCCTAATAGTAAGACTTTTTAAAGCTCACTGGATAAATGGCCTGGACTGGTTCTCTCCCTCTTTAAGGCTGGCATGTTTAAAAAAAAAAAAAGTACATCTGGTTACAGGTCACAGGTGAGAACGTTCACTAGTCTCTTGGCTTTCTTATTCTTACCTGTCTGCATCTGATGAGTAAGGGGCAGGCAACAGAAGTAACTCTCCCCATATTTGGGTCTCAATCTTAGTCTTAAGGAGAAACAATAAGAAGCATCCAACCTGACAAGAGATCAAGCTGTGACCTCCAACCCAGCAGAACCAAGATGAAAGCCCACAATGAGGAGGAGCAATCCTTACTTGTCCATAATCAGTAGAGAAGAGTTTGATTACTGACATCTACAAACAACAGGTTTAGTTTTATAAACTCTCAATTAATAAAACACACTGAGATGCTGCCTCAGTCCTTTAGAAAAGGGGTTCAGGGTCCTAAGATTTCCTAAGCCCCTCCCACAACCCAAACAGAAAAGGCCAGCATTAGCCCACACACGCTCACACATACGCAGCACATTCGCTCACTCAGGGAAGTCTAAAATATTTACCAGCTTCTGTCCCACGATATTGTAGTGACTAAAGGACTGGATGAATGCCACAAAGCAGACTTTACAATTAGCTAGAAAACAAAATTAATTGATTTTAATAAACCCACTGCTTATTATCAATCTCATACACATCATTCCTCCAGAAACAAAAGTGCTGAGGCAGATCTAGACACTAGAGGCCTTACATCCTGACATACCTAATTTGAGTCTAAGATGCACTTTAACAGTTATGGTTTATTTCATTGATTCTGAGATGTATTTCAGTTAGATGTATTACTAGGTACTTACTTTTGTTCTGCTATAAATAAGTTGTATCTTTTTTCAGTTTTTTTGTGTGTTTACTGTTGACATGCAGGGAAACAACTGACTACTCTTATAGCCACCCACACAAAGCAATCAGTGGAGTGACTGTTCTTGGTTACCTGAAGTATAAAGGTATGTATCATTTGGTTATAAGTCTTGGGATTTCATAGGGCGTAACCATATCATAGAGGAGCTACTCTGGCAAATCATTTTGACTTCATGTGGGGAGGGGGGGTCTTAATTATCAAATAATAAATAGAACTTGGCACTGGTGACTCATGCCTATAATCCTAGCTACTTAGGAGGCAGAAATCAGGAGGATCTCTGTTCAAAGCCAGCCTGGGCAAATAGCTCTTGAAACCCTATCTCAAAAAACACCAACACAAAAAAGGGCTGGTAGAGTGGCTCAAGGTGTAGGCCCTGAGTTCAAACCCCAGTACTGCAAAAATAAACAAATTAAATAATAATTAGAGGGCTGGCAGAGTGGCTTAAGTGATAAGAGTGCCTGCCTAGCAAACATGAAGCCCTGAGTTCAAACCTCAGTGCTGCCAAAAAAAAAAAAAAAATCAAATCATAATTAGGAAATGAGAACAATAACTAGCCTTATATCCAATAGGAAATAAAGGAAACACAATAAGGTTTAGACTAAACCTTATTAATCCAAACAATGTATCTGTATATTCTCTTTTCTTTGATGATAATCACATGATCTAAAAACAAAATCACTTTCCAAGTTGTAAATTAGGATGACCATGACTGCCAAAAGTCTACCTCATATCCTGGCCTGGCACAGTACATACTTTTTTAAGTTTTTTAAAAAACTTAAAATGAAGAGAGGTTTATTCAGTTCAAGAGTCTTTTCTTTCCTGCCAATTTAGCTATTTTCTTTTTCTAATCTGTTTCCAAGTGTAAATTGTAGTGGCCATGTTCCTTAGTTAGCATCTACAGCCAGAGCAAAGGGTCAATGGAGTTGAGTGTCCAGAGACTTAAAGATACACAAGCAATGACTATGTCAGTAGGCCACAAAAGGACCTCAGTAAGGTAGTGGTGGCACAGCAGCTGGAAAAGGGGAAGGTAAGATGTGAATACAGTGGGTACATGCCACCTTTGCAGTGTTGAGAGAACACAATGGCCAAATAATCTATTGCCCCCCTGGCTACCCAAACACCAAAGCCACGGCTAGTAAAATCCTCTTCCTCTTGCTTCCTGAAGGTTTTTTTTTTTCTTTTCTTTTGGCCTTGTGTTTCTTTTTCTACAGCATCAGTGAGTCCCATACCTTTGAGGTAGAAGGAGAGAAAGTGGTGCACAAGGAAACTGCCATCTGTCTTGGCATCACAGAGAACAGTTAGTTTCCCCTAAAAGAGGAACACAAAAGGGTAAATTAGACTCCCTGGAAAATTAGCCCAGTGGAGAAATCTAGTCAGTTATGTAAATTTCTACATCTGGAGAGTGTATTTTTTAATGTCATAAACTCTAAATTTACCTGAAAATGAAAACAGCAAATAAAAAAGTTATGGGGGAAAAAAAAAATCAATGATTAGTTATGAGTATTCTTTTGATGGACTCCAGTGGTTCATGCCTGTAATCCTAGCTAGTTGGGAGGCTGAGATAGGAGAATCACAGTTCAGGGACAGCTCAGGTAATAGTTCATGAGACCCTTCTCCAAAAAATAATAATAATAACCAAAGCAAAAACGTACTGGAGGTGTACCTCAAGCGGTAGAAGCGCCTGCTTTGCAAGTGTGAAGCCCTGAGCTCAAACCCCAGTTCCACCAAAAAAAAAAATTCCTTCTCTTCTCCACTCCTCACGTTAGTAACTCAGGGACCAGTCTTGGGGAGAATTAGATCCTGAACAAATGATAAACGGTAAGACTGTCAAGCTTGCAAGAGACTATCAAAAATGGTCTTCCAGACAATGGGAGGCGAGGCAGTGAGTAGGACCGTGAGTTCTTGGCCAGACTGGGCTACAATGCGGGACTCATTAAAAAGAATAATAATAAAGAAAAATAAAAGGTACTTAAGTTTGAACACAGGGTTTTGCCCTTGCTAGGCAGACTACCACTTGAGGCACGCCTGCAGCCCAAAAGTCTAACTTCGCCTCGGTGGGCATACACGCAGCACCCAATAGTCTGACTTGCTTCCTAGAGACATTTAAGGGTAAGCACGGCCTCAGAACTTACAAGACCGTCCAGAAGCCCCTTTTCTCGGGCCCAAGCCTCCAAGTTTCCACCAACCCTCACCAGACCACAACGCCCAGACGCCCGGGCAAACTGCAGTCGCTCCTTTCCCGGGTCCTGCAGTCGCTCCTTTCCCGGGTCCTGCGCTCAGCATCCCGGAAGTAGTATTCCACCACCATCCCAGGGCCCGCCCCCTTCCGGTTCGCGCTACATCTTGCCTGCTCCACTCTGTCAGGGGTGGTGTTGAGAAGGTTATTGAGTTCTGGGAACATTCCAAGCTCCGGAGACAAACGCCCGAGATGAGAAACTAGGTTCCTGCATAGAAGACGGGGTCGGAGAGTCAAGCACACCCTCACTAGTCACCCGAAGGAGTGCGCATGCGCAACGCCACTCCCTCAGCCAATCAGAGGGGCGCTTATGTCGGGGGCGGGGCGCTGCCGGCGCGCCTAGTCCCGGGAGACAGCGAGCTGGTTTTTTTTTTTTTTTTTTTTTTTTTTTTTTCCTCTCGGTACTGGAGCTTGAACTCAGTGCCACACCTAGAGTCACTGCACCAGCCTTTTTTTGTGATGGGTTTTTTTAGATAGGATCTCGCAAACTATTTGCCCAGGCTAGCTAGAGCCACTCCACCAGCTCTTTTTGTGTTAGGTAGTTTTGAGATAGGGTCTCGCGGAATTAATTGCCCGGGGATGGCTTCCAACCGCCATCCTCCTGATCTCTGCCTCCTGTGTAGCTATGTGATTACAAGCGTGAGCCACCGGCGCACGGCTCCCAGGCTAGCTTTAAACGGCGAACTTCCTGATCTCTGTATCCAGCCTAACTAGGATTTCAGGCATGGGCTACCGGCGCTCGGCTCGATCTGCATCTTTATGATTTACTGTTCCAACATATGAACAAACTTTCTTTCTCCACTTAATTTAGGTCTTCATTAATTTCTCTTAAGCTGTATTTTGTGGTTTCCAGTATTCCTGTCTCTCATAACTTTGTCAGACTTACCCTATTTCATATTTTATGCTAAGTAGTATTCTTAAGATTTCCATTTCTCTTACATTGTTGCCAATATATACAAATAAAATTAGTAAGAAGAACCATTAGAATACAATAAAATCAAAATACAAGGTTTCAAAGGGTCTGGAGTAATTCTTGGAAGGAGTGGGCCTTAGAGGAGTTTAGGAATCTCCCAATCTGCGCTTCTTGGGTTAAGCTAAGAACATGAGCAGCGACTGGATGATGGGTGTGGATTAAACCACATACACCTCACCGGCAGCAGTGTCTGATAGGCCACGTTGCTTGCCTACACAAATTAACTTCCTCTGTTCTTTTTCACTGAATGGCCTCTTTGCAAAGCCTCTGTGTTTCCAGCAATGACGAGTACCTTGGATGTATTTGCAGATCCTCCTCCACCTCAGCAGCAGCCACCGCGCCACCTGCAGATGGGGTCCCACCGCCTCCTGCTCCAGGCCCACCAGCTTCGGCCACTCCTTAGCCTGAAAGATGCAGGGAGCCTCCACGCCCACCACAAGCTGGAGTGGGGATGACAGGACTTGTGTGTCTCAGCTTTCTTGGGTTTCTTTCAGGACTTTTCTTCTCACATCCCAAGCATGTGTCCCAAGTCTCCCGACTCCTCTTGCCACCCTCTCCATGCTCTGACATCTTTTGTGTTAGATCCTCAGCTGACACTCAGTGGGGGGAGCTTGTGGTGACAGTGTGCTCTAGCCATCCTAAAAATAACCTGCATCGCCCCTTTTCTGGTGTGGCAGGTGTTGGCAGTTTATCTTCAGGTACTGTCAACATTAGTGTTCCATGTCTTTATCACTTTTTCTCTCCTGAAGTTTTTTGCTTTGTCTTATGCCTCTATGGATAATCCTGTATAATTACTTTCTTTTTCCCTGTTGTTAAGATGATTTCAAAGAAGAGGTTGGAGGTGTGGCTCAAGCAGTAAGAGTGCCTGCCTAGCAAGCATGAGGCCCTGAGTTCAAACCCCAGTGCCGCCAAAAAAAACTAAGTTAACAGGAACCAAATAGGCAGAAAGAGATAGCCACAGGGGACACACCTTAAGGCATTATAAGTGACCTTATTCTGCTTATCTGAGCTAAGAATGGTGCTGCTGGTGAAGTTTCCTAAGACTTGTCATGCATAAATGCACCAAAATTAATAGAGGGGAAGGAGGGGGTGCCCCCATTGATTTTATTCCCTGGTGAGGATTGTGAAGGCCTCCATCCTGCCTGGCAAAACATACCACTTTAACTAGTAACTCTAACGTGGTAGAGGATAGCACAAACATTAGAACAAATCCACTTCTTCCCCAGGTCCACTGGTTTTGGTTTTCTGTGTAGATGATTTGCTGGATTGGAAGTTGGTGTTTTGTTTTTCTGAGGGCAGTGTGAGCTTTGAGGGTTGGAATTTGGGGAAGCATTCCTTAGTTCCCTACTGGCCAGGAAAGTTAAAGGGGTCTAGGGCAGCGGGCCCTCCCCCCATGAATCTAGCCTACTGTTTACTTGCTTTGTATGGATGCTTTTTCCCCCCCTCCCTCTTTAAAAAAAAAAAGGAAAAGGAAAAAACCCTTAAAAAAAAAAGTAAGTAGATAATGCTAAACATTTTAGTTCATGGAACTTGGTTAGGGTGGCTGGGGGTGTAAGTCCCTAAACTACCTCTTGCAGCAGCCAGGGTGAATGGAGTTTCTAGAATCGGTACTTTGGGTTCAGGATGGGATTGGAAAAGCGGGCAGGGTCATCAGCCTCTCATACCTTCTCCCTTCCCTTTCTGAGATCTCACATTCCATCTGTCACAGGGTTGTCCAGGACATGCTGAGGGTACCAACGACCTCACGTGGCTCCACAGCAGCATGCGTTAGCATTTGGGGTGCTCAGGCTAAGAGGGTGTGATGCCACTCCAGAGGAAGAGCCACAAAAATGCCTTAATTTGAGCCCATATCTATCCCTGCCAATGAGTGATTTGAGAGTTCTTGGTTTTGTCTTGTCTTTCTTTCCTCCCTCCCATCCCTCCATCTTTCTTTCCTCTCTCCCATCCTTCCATGAGAAGTGAAAAAGGTGTTTGGGGCAGAGCTTGGTTTCCAAAGCGCCTGGCTTCTTCACTTCCCATTCTCAGTGGCAGTTTCATAATTTAGAATGGGAGGTAGGACATCTTTTTCTATGTTGATTTTTTTTTTTTTGCACAGCTGGGGATTGAACCCAGAGTTTCACGTGTGCTAGGCAAGCACTCTATCACTAAGCCACATTCTGGGCTGGCAGAGTGGCTGAAGTGGTAAGAGTTCCTGCCTAGCAAATGTGAGGCCCTGAGTTCAAACCCTAGTGCCGCCAAAAACAAACAAAAACATAATGCTAAGCCACATCCCTAGCTCCAAATTGACTTTTGATTTTATCCTGCATCCTTGCTAAACTCATTAATTCTAGTCGCATTTAAAAGATTCCATTGGATTTCCTATGTAGATAATCATGCTGTCAGTGAGTAAAGACAGTTTTACTTCTTCCTTTCTAATCTTTTTACTACTTTTTATTTATGTATTTACTTATTCTTGCTTAAGTGCATTAGCAGGCAGTAGTAAGAGCAGATATCCTTGTCTTCTGATCTTGGGGAAAAGAATTAGGTTTTAACCATTAAATATGGTATTACATTAGTGGTATTTTTTATGAACTTTTCATAGCTGCCCATTATCAAGTTGAAAAAGTTCTCTATTCTTCATACTTTACTCACCTTATTTTATTTATTTATTTTTTTTGGTGGGACTGGGTTTGAATTCAGGGCCTCAAACTTGTGAGGTAGGCGCTCTATCGCTTGGGCCACATCTCCAGTCCATTTTGCTCTAATTATTTTGGAAATGTGATCTTGTGAAATATTTGCCCAGGCTGATCCTGAACCTTGATCCTCCTTGTCGCAGCCTCCCAAGTAGTTGGGATTACACATGAGCTACCAGCACCCAGCTATTTATTTTTTGGTATACTGGGGTTTGAACTCAGGACCTTCTGTTTGCTAGGCAGGCACTCTATCACTTAATCTACACCTCTACCCATTTTTGCTTTACTTATTTTTCAGATTGGATCTCACATTTTTTAATCTAGGCTGCCCTCAGGCCGAGATCCTCTTTCCTATGCCTCCTGGGTAGGTGGGATTATATGCATGTGCCACCATGCCTAGCTGGTTTGTTGAAATGGAGTCTTCCTTGTCAGGTGCCAGTGGCTCACGCCTGTAATCCTAGCTACTCAGGAGGCAGAGATCAGGAGGATCTCAGTTCAAAGCCAGCCTGGGCAAATAGTTCCCAAGACCCTATCTTGACAAAACCTATTACAAAAAAGGCCTGGTAGAGTGGCTCAAGATGTGGGCCCTGAGTTAAACCCCAGTACCTCAATTAAAAAAAAAAAAGAAAGGAAGGAAAGAAGGAAGGAAGGAAGGAAGAAAACATAAATTTTGCTTTTTGCTCAGACTGGCCTCAAACCTCAATCCTCATATGTCTACCACCTGAGTCGTTGGGATTACAGACAGACATGAGCACCTTATTTTTGGGGATGCTTCTTTCCCCGGCCTTGGGTAGCTCCCCATGTGCTGAATGTGAATGCTTCAAGTGACCCTCTGCAGATTTCCAGGTTCTCTCTATGCAACACTCTTCTTTCTGGTCCTCTGTCGTAAGAACTCTAGCTGCCTTGGTTTCCCTGCACTCTTAGTCTCAGCCTTTCCAACTCAGGGAATATTCCAGGCCTTACTCAGGTTCCAATCCCTTCCCTCCCTAGCAGGAACCCATGGCCATGCCCTGGTATTCACCCTCGGTGTCTTCATATGACAGGAACTTAGAAGCTGCTTTTGCTAAAACAAACAAACAAAAAACAAAAACACTTATTCCTTATTTGGGCCCACAAGTTTATTAAAAGCAGGAGAAAAGCTTGGCATCCCTGCCTCCATTTTGCATCTGTCTCCTTTATTCTGAATCTCTCTCCTGCAATCACCTGGGTTCCAGGAAAGACAAGACTATCAATCACATCTTTACACAAGATGTTAACTTTCCATACCAAAAATATCCCCAAGGAACAGAAGAGTCACTCCATCAATTGACAGTTACCTATAATGATGAGGCTGCACCCTGGAGCAGGAATAATCATCTCATAGGAGCCAGATTGCTTCCCTCAACTGGTGACAGCCAGGCCACACTCTGCCTGTGACTGCTGAGTTATGTATACCTTGCCCCCTGCCCTGATTCTTCCTCTATTTAACCCTAAAGCTCTGTACCCTGCAAGATGGCTGAGATGCTTACTTTGCCTCTCAAAGGTGTGTCTATGCCGTGTCGTCTCCTTTCTCTGCCCTTCATCACTCTTCATAGCTTTATTTGGCATATTGGGGCGAG